AAAAAAAAAAATTTGAGTTTTTAGGCCAGGCACGGTGGCTCATGCCTGTAATCCCAGCACTTTGGGAGGCCGAGGCAGGTGGATCACCTGAGGTCAGGAGTTCGAGACCATCCCGGCCAACATGGTGAAACCCCATCTCTACAAAAAAAATAAATAAATAATGAGTTTTGGAGTGCCCCCTTAAATTTTGCACGTCAAACAAGTGCCTCACTTGCCCCACCACAGAGGCCTCGGACAACCTCACAATAAGCACCAGAGGAGGAATGGTCCTTCTGAGTCAGACCAAATTAAGGTCAGAGGGCCAGGCCTTTGTACCCATGAATGACTAGCCATTGGACATAAATTGTTTTTAGCAAGGAAGCAACACCTTGTGAGAGCCAGCTCTTGTCTGCTGAAGGCAACTTGTGGAGAGGAACTTGGCTGTGAGCTATCAGCATCCAACACCCCTTCCAGCTGAGAGACATTCCTGACAGCTTGGTCCTCAAGGGGAAATATGAGGGGCACAACAACCTTTTAGTTCTACTATTATTTCTTTTTTCTTTCTTTCTTTTTTTTGGAGACAGACCCTCACTCTGTTGCTCAGGCTGAAGTGCAGTGGCACGATCTCGGCTCACTGCAACCTCTGCCTCCCGGGTTCAAGCAGTTCTCCTGCCTCAGCCTCCCGAGTAGCTGAGATTACAGTTACACGCCATCTTGCCCAGCTAATTTTTATATTTTTAGTAGAGATGGGGTCTCACCATGTTGGCCACGCTGGTCTCAAATGCCTGACCTCAGGTGATCCATTTGCCTTGGCCTCCGAAAGTGCTGGGATTACAGGCATGAGCCACCATACCCAGCCCTGCCATTTTTATTAATAAAGGCACTTAATGCTATGCATTTTGCTTAGAGTGTAACTTGTATGAGTTTCGTAGATGGTTGGTACAAAGTAAATTGATATAAAATGTGTTTTCCTTTATATTACAAAGACGGTGACATTTCAGTTTTTATTTCCTCTTTGAAACAGAGGTTATTTAGGACAGTGTGGTTATGGAGGAAAAGGAGTGTTAATGTTTTCAGCCGGGCATGGTGGCTCACACCTGTAATCCCAGCTGAGGTAAGAGGATCCTTTGAGGTCAGGAGTTCAAGACCAGCCTGGGTGACAGAGCCAGCCCTCATAACTAAAAATAATAATAATAATGTGTTCAGTATTATGTTTTTGTTTGAGACAGGGTCTTACTCTGTTGCCCAGGCTGGAGTGTAGTGGCCATTCACAGGTGCACTCATAGGTCACTACAGCCTCAAACTCCTGGACTCAAGTGACCCTCTTGCCTCTTGAGTAGCTGGGATTACAGGCATGTGCCACCCTATTTATGATTTCTTTCTTTTTTTTTTTTTTTTTTTTTTTTTTTTTTTTTTTTT